AAAAACAGATAATTGAACTGAAATATAAAATTCGTAACCGAAAATTTTAGTTTGGTCTCTATTGATCACTAGTGTGCAATCTGGTAGTCTTTAATGTGCAATTTGTCTAAAACAATTGTGCACTCAAAATGCATAAAGATATATATATTAAAAAAAACAAAAAAACTTGTTGTTTTCTTATAATTCGATTAGTTTGCTCATTTCGATTATTTAAAAAATAGAACCGACATTGAACTTAAATAAGCAATAGTCTAATTGTAAGAATAAATTATCGAATTGAAGTTAAAATTTTGAATCGAAATTTTAGTTCGGTCGGTTTCCATTCATGTGCTATGTGATAGTCACTAATGTGCAATTCGTCTAACAATATCGTGCACGTACAACACACACATCTTGAATGATTTGTTACAAACCAAACTAACATCGAACTTAAATAATCGATTTTTCGACTGATTAAACGGATTACATTAAATAATCAAAATAAATTATTATGTATATTATAAAATACATTTAGTATGTTAATATTTATGTTTAATATGTTATAATATTTATGGTTGAAAATATATAATATACAAATTATCGAAATTCGAAAAGTGCAATCCGACATGCAATAATGTGCAATTCATCAATCATTATTTTGCATTCCATCGATCGAGTATTTTTTAAGTGTATTTCAAATATCATTATTTTGCATTTATCAAAATTTTTATATAATAAAAATATTTTTATTGTTTATATTTTTTATTTAAAATTTTATAAGAACAAAATATTAAAAACGAAAAAGTGCAATCTGACATACAATAATGTGCAATTCGTCTATCATTATGGTGCAATAAATTGATCGAGTATTCCTTATGTGTATTCCAAATTTATAAACAGGTGTGTAATTCAATTATCATTATTTTGCAAATACCAACTTTTTTTTTATATAATAAAAATATATTTATTATTTATTTAATATTTCATATTATGGTTTGTTCATAAGAAATAATACATAATTAGAATATATAAATATTATGTTTAAATTACATATTTAACCCATTAACTAAATTGTAATATATGTAAATATTGTAAATTGCAACTAGGTCCCTAAAATCTATCTAATCTTCAAAAACGGTTCATCCCCAAAATTGAAGCTCCCCGTGAATTTTCAGAAATCATCCGCCGGGGGTTTGCCGCGGGTCCAGCCATCGGCTGCGTGAAGAGTAAGTCAGAGTGCCGAGGAAGACGATGTACCCGTCTTCGATCGTCGGGCTCCCAGGTCTTCGATTTCTGTGCGGCGGAGTGGCGGGAGACGGAGGACGATTCTTCGCCCCGCCACGCCATGGGTGGAGCTGGACGTGTCGTCGCCTCGTTCACGTCCGACCACCGTGAGTGAAGTGTTCGTCGCCTGATGTGCAGTCGCCCTTCCACTACCGGCGATTCTCACCGTCGATTCTACTAACTCTAAAGATGGAGACCTTCGTTGGGATGAGATGTACGGAGTAGACGAGACGACGACGAAGCTGGTGCCGTCGCCGCCGCTATTGGTTGTCTCTACGAGTCCCTCTGGCGGTCGAGGATGTTGCCGGCAGAGCTTGACTGCTCCGGTGGTCGACGACCTGCAAGTCCGGTACGCCGATGTGCAGATTCCGGTGAGACATTAGAGGATGGTGACCTGAGGCAGAACCGATTTTTGGTTGCAGAGGTTGTGTGTGTGTGTGTGTGTGTGTGAGAGAGAGAGAGAGAGAGAGGAGGTGGGAGAAGAGAGAGAGTGAATTGATTGAGAGAGGGTGGTGACGTGAATAGTTGTGTTTGGTGGGAGCGGGTCCACTGATTTTGGGTTTGTGAGAAATGTCCCCATTGCCCTTAATTTGTGTAACATTGTTTCTTATTTTTTACCGTTGGATGCTCCCATCCGATGGCTATGATGTATTCTTATTTCTTTCACTAAGCACCATTCTCACCGGAGCGCGACCCTATATATATATATATTATTGAGTTGGATAAATATATATATATATATATATATAGATGCTCCACAACCTCAGATCTTCTGTTGTATGACCCGACATCTCATCCGATCTTCTTGGTGGGCGATAAATCGGAGATATCTCTACTGGGATTACTTGAAGAAGAAGAAGAAGAGAACACAAGAGAGAAAAGAGAGCACAAAAGAGGGCAGCGTGCGTCTCTAATCTCCTAATCCCAAGAGATGTGATGTGTTTATAGGCTACAATAGGGACCCTAAGGAGGTATTAAATTGGGATTCTCCTATTGGGATTAGACTATAGGCTAAGCCTACCAAATCCAAATAGGAATAATACATGCACTCCACTAAAGTAGTATTACTAAAAAAACTTCCAATTTAATTCCCGAATTATATTCGAGCCTCCGATAATAGTTATTCGATTTATCTCCCCGTATTTAAGATATAATGTCCATCAATTAATTAATTACTGATAATTAAATTAATCGACATCTATAACCGAGACTAGTACCACTCATCACATTATTATTATGTTGGAATAAATTCCACTGGCCAGATTTAACATAATAATCCTTCATGAGCTCATCTCGGGGACATCATCAAACTAACGCACACGGTGGCCGTAAATATTCTAGCAGCACATCGTACATACAATAATATTACCCAAAATAGTAAGTATATTGATCCAGTAAACTGAATCTCACCCAAGAGAATTAAAGTAATATTTACTGCATGCACATGCCTGTTTATATCTTACGAGTTAAGAGTACGCAGTAATTAACCGAGACCTAGTTCGTTTACGACAATTAGTATAAAGCGAACTTCTCCTCTCTGGGATCCGTTCAATACACAAAGTGTACTAGTGCAACTAACCAATCAAGACCAACTATACGGTTAACACTACAACGGTTCAGATGTGGTGTTCATTTCCATCTAGATTGTGAACTAAAATTCTTGTTTCGCAAGTAACTGATAGAATGATCTTCTGTTTGCCTAATGACGACCTATATCAAAGTGCAAAAATAACAAAACATAGACTATTTAATTAAACATGATTCTCATTCAAATGGGTTCAGTGTAAATACATCTAAAGGCAAGCTTTCAGTATATACACCAACAATAAGATGTGGTGGCGATTTAGGGAGGGCAAGTCACTTTGGGCTCAGTATTTTCACCGGAAGTACTATACTAGAGGCGCTGCCCATCCTTGTAGGGTGACGGCCACCGCCCAGGCAGTGGAGGCGGCTCACCATGATTGGTAGACGTGCTCAGAAGCACTTATTTTGGACTCTGGGTGAAGGAGACATTAGCTTTTGGGATGTGTGGTGGTTTGGTGAGGGCCCCCTTTCGAGCACTAGACAGGTCACGCACCTTCCTTTTCTGCAGGTGAAGGACCTGTGGACAGAGGCGAAACCATAAATATATTTGAGAGGGGGCAAAAGAAATGACATAATGGGTTCAGAACTGAACCCTAATGGGTTCAGAAACGATACCGAACCGATAACATTTCGGTAACCGATTTTCAGTTACCATTACACATAAGTCGGTTCGGTTCAGTTTTTTTTCTCATCGGTTCAGTTCGGTTCGGTTCGATTTCGATTTTCAGTCAAAAAATACATGCCCTAGCCCGGGCAATAAAAGAGAGTTGAAGTCTTTTATATGGTCCAATTAAAATTTTAGAATGATAATAATTAATATACAAAATTAATAGTAAAATAAAAGAAGTGTTGAATTGTTAATTGACAATTGTGGACAAGTTGGTCTGATGAGTAACGTTTAAAGACAAAAAATCTGGGGGTGCAAAAATAAATTTAAAGGGGGGACAAATTAAAATTTTTTATTATGAAGTAAAATAAATTAAAATTTGAGAGGGGCAATTGCCCCTACTAATACATGTAAATTCACCCATGACTGTGGACGGAGGGTGGTTGGGACATGGATAGGTTAGAGAGAATTCTGGGTACTGGAACGGGCTTTAGTGACCAGGTGATAGATGAGATCCAGTAGATTCCCATCCTGGAGGGCTGTTTAGACGGTATGAGGTGGATACATACATCTTCGGGTGCATTCTCTAAGACCTCGGCTTGGGGGGAAGTATGGATGGGGCCTAGCCTTCTTTTAGAGGCCATCTGGACCGACCTACTTACCCTGACCATCTCTGTTTTCCTATGGCGCCTCCTTTTGCGCCGCCTACCAATTGATATTGTGATGCAGACGAGGGGGTTCTCCTTCCCCTCGCGTTGCTACTGTTGTGCTGAGACCGACGATTTTCAGACGGAGACTTTCACCCATTTTTTTTTTGAGAGCTAGACTATGAGGAGAGTGTGAGAGCATTATACCAGTTACACACATATTCCCCTACCCTCCACAGATATTTTCTTTGAGCTTCGGAGTTTCTCAGACACAACCAACATAATAGACACGTGAGCTTCCTTATTCTTTGTTTGATCCTTTGGGCCACCTGGACAGAAAGTAATAATGCGAAGCATAGGGATAACTCTTTTTTGTGTTCCCATATTATTTTGCAGGTTGACCGACATCTCTCCCTTCTCACTGCTTTGGGCAGACTGACACAGAGAGACTGGACAGGCTACATGCCACCTAACCGCCTTGCACCGCCTATGCTGCCGCCTGTCCAACATCTTGGGCCCAGAGTTGTTGTTTAGCTGAAGCCCGGATTGCCTTGGGCAGTCGGACCTATCCTTTGGTGCCTTTACTTCCTCGCGATGCTGATTCTTCGCCTGGACTCTTTCAGGACCAAGATCAGATATTTTGATGATTATTTGCTGCTGTTGTCTTTTTCTTTTTCTTGTTGCTTTTTGTTTTCGACTTTTCGTATATTTGGACTGTTGTTTATTGGACATTGGACTGTAGAATTGTTACTTTTCAACTCATTTAGCGCCTTTTATATACAGGTTGGGGTTCGACCTTAACACCCCACTCTCTCGGGGTGTTGTTATCCTTTAAAAGAAAAAAAAAAATGTTACACCGTCCGTCAATGTTTGGCTAACCCATTGAACAAAATCAGTGAATGATCTCCTGTGTTGTTTGCCTTTCCTACGTCTACAAAATTACTCAATTTACTTATTGTGTTTTGTATGTAGTCAACGGATATGTAAGCTTAAAATTACTCGCTTTCTTGTGGACAACTTTGTCAATAAACTAAAACTATTGTTACAAATTACAATCCCCAAAATTAGCCAACAAAAGAGGAAGTGATAGAAGATATAAGATTAATTTGCAGTTTTCCCTAAACAAATTTTATTATACACTATCGTTAAAGACATGTATTGAAGCTATCTAAGTATTATCTTGTGTTCGGTGTTGAGGATAGGAATGCAACATATCTGTAAATGCGGGGATATCGAGACGTGGTTACATAGCTGCTCAAGCAAGAGCGAGTCCAAATGATGATAGTGGATTTGTATTCAAGCAGTGTAATGTAAGTGGACAAGGGAACACATTTCTGGGAAGAGCATGGAAATCTTACTCTCGAGTCATATATTACGACTCCTTTTTCGCGGCCATAATCACTCCTAAAGGACGGGATGCTTGGGATATTGCAGGACAGGAGTAAGATTTCTCTTAACCTTATGTTCTTTCTTCCCTTCTTATCCCTCATTGTTATTTCTTTTTCTTCCGAAATGAAGTAAATATATCATGAGTTAGTGGAAGCACATGGGTCAAAGTAAAGATATATATGTCAACACCAATATATATTAGGTGTGGTTATAATGTGCATCAGTATTAAAACGAGTATGATCGATTAATCACAACTAGTATAGAGCCCGTGCGATACACGGGGTGCACAATTTTAAGGCTATTTATCCAGGCGTATAATTATATACATGAATAAAGAAAAATGTACGGGATATATATAATATGTGACCCGTGCGAAGCACGAGATATATTTATTTGGAGAATATTATATTATAAGATGCAATATTCAATAAAAGTTTATAATACACAAGAAAATTGTACAATGTTAAAATACCCGTGCAAAGCACGAGATATATTTATTTGTTTTATGATTTGATAATATAAGCAAATCTATACTTAACTTTGACAAATAAAACAAATAAATATTTTAGTAAGTATTTAATGTATATAGTAAATAGGAATATATTTGGTATAATCAAATACCAAATATAATCAAATAAGTCAAAGTGTACATTTTTATTTGGTATTTGATTTTTTTATTACTAATACTTACCTTTGTAAAATAAAACAAATAAATAAATCAATTAAATAAATAAAATATTATAATACCAAAATAGTAATGACATTTAATGCAGTTAACTTTTCTGGATTGTAAAGTAGTAAATATAATCTCCTTTTATATATGTATAGATTGTATAATATGGAAATAGTAATGCAATAAATGTTGTTGACTTTTCTTTATACTAAATCTGGTAAATGGTATACCTTTTAATATAAGTATAGGCTTTCCAATGAGCTAGATCTAATAAATGTAAATTGGTTTGACATATGGATGAGCCTTTATTCTCATAGTGCGATACCCGTGCGATGCACGGGCTAGTTTATTATGATAAACATTTAGATTTGCATAATTGGATGATTGGAAGAACGTTTACGCATGCATTGAAATAAAACAAAATGTAACTTATATATTATTAAATACATCCTTGTACACAACATTATTTGTTTGGTCTTTTGGTACATCGTTGTCGCGACAAATTATATTAAAATTCTATATAAGCTTAAATAAATCAATTAAATTATTTAGTAGTATATATATAATATGATTTATATTGCTTCTTTGAAGATTGTATAGCCAAATATAACGGAGATTGTAAAACGTTTTTCTTCATAATCTATAGCCTTATTATTTAAAATTTTAAATTACTTAATTTAAGGAAGGAAAAAATTGTGTAAGTGTATGCAATCAATTTGAAATTTGTATTCTATAGGATTAAACAAAACCCAAAATTTTAAAATGTTCCAATTCGATTTTATTTTGAATTCAAATTAATATTATCTGACTCTGTTTTATGTTTTAAAAAAAAAAAATCTGAACTAAGAAAAGTAGTAGCCAAATGATAAGGGATGTTTAAACTTCAATTTTCAATTTGAAATTGGGCCTAATTTCTATGCAATCTGATTTTTTTAATAAACATGGACTATTGCAATTAGGTAAAGATATATGTTATAGTATTTTGCCTAATTCGAATTTTCCGATTTTATGGTAAATAGATATTTTTTAATAAAAAATGAGAGAATTTTGACTTTTACAAAATTGTCATGCCAAATAATTCTATGCAATCAAATTTTTTTTAATAAACAAATGATCTGTTGCAATTGAGAAAAGATATATGTGATACTATTTTGCCTAATTCGAAATTCCCGATTTAATTGTAATCGGCTTTTTTTTTAATAAAAAATGAGAAAGAATTTTGACTTTTGAAAAATTGTAAACATCAGTCAAAATTTACCTAAATTAAATACACAAAACCCATTAATTTAGGGTGCATATATAGTTGATAGATTTTTTTGGGAATGATTAAAAAGAAAATTCAAAAATTGCCAAAAATAGAATGCAATAAATGCTGGTTGACTTTTTTTGTTAATATTTTTGGTAAATAGGTTCTCTCTTTATATAGGTATAGATATAGATATATATAGGTAGACATCATATCACTAAATATATAAATATATATACATCAATAAACTTTTAGATGATATGAAATATGATAATTTTAAATTTCAAATTCTAATGTTCCTCCTTCGCTCTAATCTATTCCATTAAAACTACTTTTTTTTCGAAACGATAGAGATATTATATAACGCACACAAATATGCAAAAGGTCAGCCACCAGCTGAATACAAGTAGCCAACAGCTGAAAAAATGGGAGGACAGGTCAAAAGACCGCCTAGAGAAATGACCCCAACAGGTTAAAACACGAGAACAACTAAAAAAACAACACACAAAGACCCCAACAGGGTAATACCCGAGTGTAAGATCCTAACATGATAATAAGGTCACACTCGGGAAAACTGAGGCAAACGGCCCAGACCAAAGAGACAACAACAACACAGCCTAAGTAACACACAAAAACCACTAAGCTACCAACAAAACAAAAACAACAAAACTAAACGAGCCTTTCCAAAGCATCAACACCTAACCGAACCAGCTGAAACAAAGAGACCGTGAATCCCGCAGCCAGATGCACCGACCCTGAAACAGCCAAAACCACTTGGTTGCCTAACGGTGTCGATACCCAGGCCCGGAACAACACCAAGCCAACCCGCACCACGGGCACAACACCAAATTGCCGTGAACAGACAAGAGAGTACCACGGCCCCAGCCCCAACCCCAAATCGCCTGGAAACTGCTCAAAACCACCGCACCGCCGCAGCACCACCCCGACAACCACCACTGGCAGAAGAATGGACGCGACGACCCCTTCGACCCAAAATCCGAGTAAAGAGGGGAGACGGTGTCAAGCAGCAGCACCGCCCCGATCGCCCAACCAACAATTTCTCTGAGCAATCGAGCTGTGTCCCACCCCAAGAACCGCACCACGGCTCCACCACTGCATGATTGAGAAGCCACCAACCTGAATTCATGAATCGGCCGAGTAAAGGACGGAGACCGTCCGCAAAAGGCGATGCCCAGCTCCATTGAAACAGAAGGCGGAGCGGAAAAATAGGGGCCGGATCCAAGCGGCCAAGGGCCAGCGACCACCGGCGAAGCGCGACGGCCACTAAGGAAGGAAGATGGCTGCAAATCGGAGAAAGCGAGACGGCGAGAATTTGGGGACGAGGGTTTTCTACAGAAAATAGCAGTTAGCTAAAATTATTCCATTAAAACTAAACTCCCAAAAAATGTGTGTTTCTTATGATATGGTCTTACATTCCAGTATTAAAGATAGGTTCTCATTTAAACTAATGTATTACGAAGGGAAAAAGAATTTTTGGTGCCCAAAGTTCACTTATTTATTATATATAGTATCTAAAATTTTATCTCTTTCATTTTTAGACCCTACATTTCACATATTAATTAGATTTGATACTTTGGGATAACTAATTGAGAACTAACTGAAGGTCAAGCCACTAGATTATGAAGAAAAATGTATACTTTTAAGCAGTATAATTCACGAGGACTCCAATGTACATCTCGACCATCTGATAAGTAAAATTGTCCCGAACCGCTTGACCGTTCCTCTGGAACTAGATTATGTCTCTCCGATCGCTGGTATCTGCAAAACACACCGAGGTGGTCCCGGCGTGAATACTCCGACACACAAGTCAGTAAGGGATTCAAGAGAAACCTACATAATAGCAAGACAAAGTTTATTATGTGTATGTGTATTCTTTTGAAATAAAGGAACCTACTCTATATATAACCTGAGTAGTTAAGTCTGGAAAGACCTCTATTGTGCTCGAACCCCTTTCACGTCCATCTCTCAATGATATGTATCTTATCTGGAATCTTAGAATCCCCATGATCCCAAACCCTCTGATTTCCAAGGAACAGACTCCCCTAACCCATGATTTGTACACTTGAATATTATATTATTTTAACCAAAAAAATAATATAAAATATGCAGAAGATATTAAAATGCTAAATATACCTTTATAATAATAATTTATAAAATATTTCATTTATTTAGAGTAATTCAATTAATCGGCGGAATAACTCAATTGTTTCAGTTGGATTTTTAAATTGGATTTTAAAAAAAATAATTATAATCATACCGCATAATGCACGATAGTACTAAGCAATATGCACATTAGTGTCTATCAGATTGCACAATTGTATGAGACCAAATGCACATTATCATAACAATGAATTCCATAAAATAACAACGCGTGACAGAACAAATTATATTATTTATTTCAATAAATAATAATATAAAATATTAAATAAAAAGATCAAAATTACTAAATATTTTGTTGTTCTGTAAATAATTTGATAAATTAAAAATTATGCCAATTGTCAACACGTTATTAAAATTTGTAAAATTGATTGCAAATAAAAAATAACCCACTTATTTCGATTCAGTTTTATTTAGCACTTGCACATAAAAAAAAACCCACAATGCAACATTCATAATAATACTAAATGTGATGCACATTAGTGACTAACACACTGCACAATAATGTTAGACAAAATGCACATTACTACATTAAAAAATGCAAACTAACATAACAGTGTATTCCGCACAATAAACACTGTATGACAACCTGAGTTTCACCTTATTATCCCGTTGGGATCCGACACTCAGGTATTACTCTGTTGGGGTCGTTTTATTTGATTTTAGTTGTTTTAGTTGGTTTAGTTAGATAGTTTAGTTGCGAGTTTTATTCTAGCATTGCTAGCCGGGACTCTAGGCGGTCTTCTGACCTGTCCTCCCACTTTTTCAGCTGTTGGTAGCTATGTATTCAGCCGTTGGCTGCTGTGTATTCGCACATTTGTGCTTTAATTTATAATATAATCAATCGTTTTGGGAAAAAAAAAA